TTTTCAATGTTAAAATTCTTGTTTCCCTAGCATACGCGGTGTTTCTTTTAAATATTTATTATTTAAAAATAACAAATTTTCAACTCCAGAAAAAAGGAGGAAGTATTAAATTATTGCAGTTTTTTATGGTTTTCGGAACGAAAATAACTCTCCCGTATTAATCTCATTATTATCTGACCTTTGACTCCGGAGATAAATGAGGGAACTCCTTAAAATCAAATAGATAATATATAGTGTGACAATATTTTTCGACTTAAGAATTTATTTTTTATTTAAAATACATAAACACTAAAACACTGCTAATAATTAAAAATATTTTTTTTTATAGTAAGTCCGTCACTTAGGTTTCTCTTCAAAATATTTTATTGAACTTTTCCCTAAAAGAAATCGCCAGCGGAATATTTCCTTTAATGGTTGAGGGGTTTGAAGGACTATTGAAGTTGAGTGTCCTTTTAAAACTGAGCATAAAAGCGACGTATCCCTTTTTGAGTACGTATATGTAGAATTTAAAAGATTTCCATAAAATTCTTCAATTATATTATATTAACACGCAAGGTATGTATATATCTATGTACTTGCATTCCCACAATTATATACTTACTACGTTGCCAGTATTTTTCCGTATTAATTACCTGCAGTACATAAACAATAGTTATTCCATTTATGTTACTCGTAAACTTGAAAATAGGAAATTTTGAAAACAATAAATCAAAATATAAAATAATCAACTCAAGCAATGTCACTTTTCTTCATGTATTTTTTTAACTTTTTTAAGATGATTTTATATATTTATGAGTAAAAATTGCTCCTTTTAATATGTTAAAAATGACTCAAAACCAAAAATACAATAATAATGGATGCCACACGACAGTGAAATAACTCTGCCATTAAGGCTTTAAGTATTTATTGTTTAAAAGGTAATTGTGATCAATTTTTTTTTTGAGCATGTTTCTCCATTTATGTCACTGCAACGGTTAGATATTAAAATGTAATAAGCGAAAGACATGAGCAGCTTTCAAACTACACGCATTCAAAGAAGTGAAAAAGAAATACGCATAAAAAATGTTTGCTACTAGATTAGTCTCGCAATCTACTTTGAATTATTTATTTATTAAATTTAATAAGTTTCAGTTTGAACTTTATGCAATCTTATCCTAACCTCCTTTCTATAAAATTAACTTTAATTGTTTTATATATTAATATTACGAGATATTTCTATAGAAACGATGTGCAATCATTTTCTACGACCCGTACGTGCCATTAAAAAATGTGACCTTGTCGCAGTTTTGTAGATTTATGCAATTATTGGAGAAAAACTGAGGAAGGTTTTACGAATTTTCGAGTTCAAACTTTGATCCGTAGTTTTAAATTGAGTCGCATTGCCGTTTTCTTTATAGTTGTGTATATTTCTATTGCACCACTTACGTAGTATAGGTTTCCTTTAAGCCGCCAATTGTACATTGCATAAATTTGTTGTTCTATTGTTACTTTTATACAAAAAAGTTTAACTCTTATTTGTGGTGGAAAATAAAAGTGTATTCATTCATTCATTCATTCATTGTGTTCCCAAAGTTGTTTTTTTTCTTTCTTTTTTGTATTCGATACTTCACATGAACTGATGTATTTGCCTTCAGAGGGTAGACTTTAAAGCTTCATCGAACAAGGAGCTTTCGATGAAGGTTACGGCCCCCGCGTTCGGTTGAGCTAGTGGAAGAGAACGTTACCAATGGACTATCGAAATTTGATACGTACCGTGATCCGGGTGGCCGTTGATTGTATTGTCTTTTTTACATTAATTTACGTATTAAAATACAAACGTTTTGTATAATTTTGCGTTTAAACAAAGCACACAGTATGTTCAGTCTAATAAGGACTGAAAGAGTAGCACTTTCATAACAAGCTTAACGTAGAACGCAGAGCGCAGAACCAGTTCTAAACACATTAGTTCGCCCTCGCCTCCGAGCACGGCGAGACCAACACAACGTAAGTTGCCATGCCGTAGTTAAACGCACGCATGAGCACATGCGCGGCTCTACCCACAGCGGAGGATCCAAACCCGTGATTTCTGGCTAGCCCAGCGGTTCTGCGTCAGATGAAACTTTAATAGTCTCGGGACTGAAAGCACAAACATCAGTTAATACAAGATACAAGACACAAGAACCGGTTCTGCGTTCGATGACACTTTAATAGTCTAAGGACTGAAAGCGAAACGTCAGTTATACAAAAAAAAAAGAAAAGATATTGTATTGATCTTCTATTCTTTATTTTTATTAGTTTTTAAATGAAACTTTTATTTACCTTATTTACTTTTCTCGACTTTGAAATAAAAAAAACCGTAAATCCATCTAAAGCATACATTCGAAAATGTTCACATTAAACTATAAAAACGTAGCTATAAATTTTTTACTACATACAATAAAATAGTATAACAAAAACATCGTCGAGCTTGCATCTTGCGAAGGAAATTATCACTATAAATACAAACGGTCATTTATGAATCGTTTTTACAATAGCACACTTCAAGATTAAAAGAACACTTCCCCGTAATACTGTTAAATAAACGCTCAAAATATACGCTATATTATCCCATAATTGTGACACCATATAACCGTGAGAAATCGAAACGTCAAATAAATAAAAGACAATTTATTACACCACACAGATGGGACATGTGATTTGCCGTACATCGAAGCTAACGTAATTAATCAAATATTTCATAAAATACTTTAGAATTACCAGAAATATTTTTCTAATTTAAACATATTTTTTAAAGTCAAATTAAAAGCCAAAGGTGAATAATTATTTGTCACGTTATTTTTATTATATGTTATTTTATAGGTTTAAAGTTATTTTAATTACATTTTTTATCCTAGAACTGAACACTTTTTATTTAAATATGGAGCAATATGTGAAATAATATAAATAAACGCCTATGTGTCAACTTATTATGACCTTTTTAATAAGTTAATCTCATGTCTTCCATACGGTACTCTTTATCCGTAATCAATAACTAAAAGTATAGTATTATCTAAAATGAAACTTGCAAACAAATTGCCTAAATAAGTCTTGCTGAAGTTCTTTGAAATTCTCGTTCTTTTCACCAAGAGATCTCACGCCATCATATCTTCTAGTCATCAATTTTACTTCGTAACTGTTAAGCAGACATTTCATTTTTTTCGCGGGAATTTTACAAATTACTTATACTTTGGTGGGATTTCTCCGGATTCCGTACCAATGAGTTATTGAAAGCTTTAACCTGTAGAATAAATGTATAACATTCAAATGTTTACTTACAGTAAACATAAAATATTGAGATATTAGAGCTACTAAAGATAAAATACTTACATTTTAGGAAGGTAATTACTTGTTGTTATCTATCTACGCCGTTCATGTCAGATATCAAGATGATCAGGCCATGTTTTTTGCAGTATTCTAAAATACATTTCAACAGTGGTAGGGCCACGCAAGTTTTTCACTTTCGCATGAATGGGCAAGTCCATCCGGAGAAGTACCACAACCTCACAGAAGACCGGCGTGAAGTGTAAGTGTTACACTTCTGCGTTTCGACTGGTGAGTAAGGTAACCGGGGCCCACTTTATTGAAGGGTGGCAACACATCCAAAACCCTACGGGTGTTGCAAATATCCATGGGTGGCGGTTATCGCTTAACATCAGGTGAACTGCCAGCTCAATTATCACATTCTCACATAAAAAAAATTACATGATTGATTGCATCAAACCTTTCGTCACTTCTTTCTAAATTATACAGGATTATAACACCATAATTATATATAAACAAAAATACACTTGTTTGAGCAATTTTAATATTAAAGAGTTTAAAAATGTCTGTAAATTATTAATTGAAAGTATTTAAACGCGATAAAATCTGTAAAATAGTTTCATTTAACCATGTATAGAAATAAGAAATAAATTTATTTAAATGATTTTTTTTTACATTTAAAATATATTCCTCGTGTCATTTCTTCACTTTCCCGACCCGGTGCTTTCAAAGCTATCTAAAAAGGAATGTGTAAAGAAAAAAAACTTAACTGGAAAGATAAACATTGACCAAAAATATCACACATTTATTTCAAAGTATTTTGTTTGGCCGCAAAGCGACAAGCAGGCTTTTGCACTGCTTTTTCGTCGCTACAGCGGAACACTATTCACATTCAGCATTCAAAACAAAGGAGTTGCGAAAGTAATCCTCTTAAAATATTCGGGCATTCCCACTGTTTTGAAACAACACTCTGCGACTTTTATCCCGATTCACGTAAAGAAATGCGATGTTGTTTTATGCGAGGGAACAATGCGTTCAAAACATAGTAGCGTTTAATGTATGAGGAGAAAAAATGTTTTAAAGTTTTCGCTATAATTGCGAGTACAAAACAATAAGTATGCTAAATAAAAACGTGTATCAAAGTATAATCATATAGATTTCTACTTCATTTAACAAAAATGCATATAATTTATATACAAAGGGATATCGATATCTCTACAAAGGAAATAGCATAATCATTTTTAAACAAACATTATGCATCTAGAAAAACTTAACGGTTTTGATCGAGATTTATTTTGAAATTATATACAAATTAATTTATCTTATAATCTTATGTCTATAGACTAATTGCAAAAACATTGTTTAGCTTTATGCACTTACAAAACCAAATAACCTATTGCTTCAGTTCGAAGAGCTGTATTCAATCCGCATTCTATTGCAAGTGAAGCTCCCAACCTTCACAGCGTTAATGTATTAATGTGTAATATTTAACTGTGGTAAAACTACGTAACAGTCTTCGCTGTTGCACAAATGGGCAGATCCGTCCGAGGAACTTTGTGTAAGGTAACCGGGGCCTACTTTATAAAAAGGTGGCAATACATTAATAACGTGTGTTGCAAATATCCATGGGGGGTGTTTATCACTTAACATCGGGTGAAGCGCCAGCCCCGCTTGCCATCTTCTCACATAAAAAAATTACACTCGATATTCTTCTCCGGCAGAACCTGAAGAATCAGATCATGACGACAAACCTGTGGGTGGAGCAGTCGTGGTACGACTACAAGCTGAGATGGGACCCGCGCGAGTATGGCGGCGTGCACATGCTCCACGTGCCTTCTGACCACATATGGAGACCCGACATCGTGCTCTACAACAAGTGAGATATTACAAAACATCGCACCGTATGAGCTGTTAAAAAAAGTCATTAAACTAGACTTAAACGTAGCCTTGGTAGCAACACGTCTGTCAGACAAAAGCTTAAAGTAAGTCCAGCCTATTTCTTGGACCATATGCTTTAAGTTTACGACAAACCCTTTCGACGCCGATAACAGGGTTAAAGCAAACAATTAAATAAGGCTTTACTTGATGATAATCGTAAAAGAACACTTGGAAATTTATAAGTTATTCATAAAGTTACGAGCGGTCGTAGCATTAACTGGCCACACCGTCATGGCATATCAATTACGCCTTACAATTCCAAGATAGGGACGAAGCGCTTGTTAAGCAAAAGCCAACAATTTAACTGTCATTAAGAGAAACACTTAAAATTTAAACACTGTGTTTTAGAGAAAAACCGAATAAAGAACGCGTTGCTACCAAAAATGCTTAAAACTTGTTTTAAATTCAATATTAAATTTATAGCTTAAATCATGTGTGTAATATAAAATAAACTACTAAACACATTTCATACAGCACACACTTCAATATAAAGTATATTTAACTCTAATTTAACAATGTAATTTCAAATGGTTAACTACATCTTTAAACTTACATTAACGATTTCCGTAGGCCATAAATAAACTGAATCTAACTATACAAAAATAATTAAAAAAATATTGTATAATGAATAAAAATTAGCACTTTTGTTGAAGAATGATGAATCATAACGTGTCGGAACAAGGTTTGTAAAGCATTCACTTTTCAACAGTAGCGGAGCCGCCGTGAGATGTAGAACATAAAGCAAGTTACGTGCTACTTTAATAAGTACAACAAATGTTTGTTGTTATAAAATTCCGTTTCTCATTCTTTTACATTAATAACATATAAGAGTAACTTAAAAAAAGTCAAATTCTGAATTCGATTAGTTAAAGTTTATGGATGACTAAATTGGATTTAAAAAAAAAACTTTGACTAGGTCACCTAAATCTACGATCAACGAATTGAAATCTCGTGTTGAATTTGGCACGTTATGTTGAATGAGTTAAATCTCTCAAAATCATTATACCTCAATAAAATAAGAAATCGTAATAAATAAACACAATAGACATACAAAACTGCGGTATAAGCTTCTCTCTCACAGCTGGCACCAATTTGTTTTTTATTGTTACCGACACTTTATACTTTACTGATACAGTTTATTTAGTATTGGAATTATGAATGTTGGATATATTTCAAAATTAAACGATTCCTTGTCGAATTCGCATTTATTTAAGGCTTTTTAAATTTATTACCGAATAACTTTTGGTGACTACAATACATTGGTGTTTTAAGTTTCACTAAAACAACTTTTTTCTAGCTGGAATGTAATTTGGTGTCCGCAAATTCAAAATTTAATTTAAGACTCACCCCAGTGGTCTAGTTTCGTAAATTCCCTGATCCTCATAAAAGCGGGAAACGCTCAAAACTTTGGTGCGATAACATTTGTAATAACAAAGTTAGCGGTGCGGAGGGTATCTCGTTTTAATATAAGACTTACTAGAAATACGCTTCTGCTTGTATAATCAGATGAAGGGTTGGTTTGAAGAAAGCTATTTGAAAATAGGGGAAAATATACGATTGGTTTATAGTAACCAAATGGCTGTTTAAACTAATAATAAGATGGTGATCATTTATTATTAGTTTAAACCACTAAAATCAAAATATATTTCTCGATTTGTAAATTTTCATTAAAATTAATCAATTCCATTTAATTTTGTGATGAACATAATATTGCTATCGTAAAATGAATAACCCTAAGAACAAAAAATATTACGTTTTATTTGCAGCTTGAGAAAAATGATTAAAAGAAGAACTCCGTTTATTATAGCCATAACGTAACAACTTCCTAATATTGTTGTATGGGGCAAAGAATCGCCCTGAGTAATAATATTGTTGTGGCAAAGATGGCGGTGAGTTGAAGTCCGCATTAATTTCGTTCCGTCCACCGCCTTCAAGCAGACTTTGACAAACGATCCGGTCGAAACTCGTTACTCATTTGCGACATCTCAGCAACCTGTGCCTACCCCGCTAATGCAGGCATCTTCCACCCCCTCAAATTTTTATCCGTCACTCGATTCAAGGTGGCGCGGTGAACTGGAAATTGGATTGTCAGCCACCTAATGGAGGAATATAATCATCCTAATCTCGAAATTCTGCACGCTTGAAGTGATTAAAGATATGAGAGTTATTTTTCAGACAGTGAGACTAGACGAAAGATATTAGCAACCGTTTGAATTGTGTTTGATTAACAATGAATCGGACTAAGGTAGATTAAGTTCATAATTTTATCAACGCAAAATTTTATTTGATACATTTAAGTTCTCGGAATTTTATTTTTCTACATGTGTATATTTCATTTATTTGAAATTCGTGTATTTAAATTACTAACGAGATAATTACAAATAAATTGTGAGGATATACGCATGCTAAATTAAATTTGCGTAGTTACACAATTAAATCATATAAATCACGTCTTTACTCAAAAAAAATGTCAATGATTCAAAAATTTTAAGTACCGATGGTATACCAATTTACACTCTTCAATAAAGGCCATTCTATTGAAACAATTAATAAATACTTATAACAAATTTAGAGTACTTTAAAGATATTTATACCTTCCGAAAAACATAAAATATCAAATTTATGTCCATAATATGAAACTCAAAATATGATTACCAACTGTGAACACGAAGCACATTAACTCGTAGAGCAAATACGCAATTTTACAGCGACATAAACACGAACAGAATCCTTGTAGGCACTCTGGCAATATCGCAAATGACATCGTTACACGCCGTCAACGCGACAAATCACACACACGCACCGAGAAAGGGTCGATGCGAGGGGCCCGTGCTGCTTGTAAAAATGAGTTAACATTGCAGTGCCGACGGCAACTTCGAGGTAACGTTGGCGACCAAGGCGACCATCTACCACCAGGGATTGGTCGAATGGAAACCTCCCGCCATTTACAAGTCCTCCTGCGAAATTGACGTGGAATATTTTCCGTTCGACGAGCAAACGTGCGTTCTTAAGTTCGGTAGCTGGACGTACGACGGATTCAAGGTAATTGCGCGCGCACCGCCCACCGCCCCCGCTCACCGCTCTGTTTGTCCGCAGCGCCGACGGCAACTACGAGGTGACGCTGATGACGAAGGCGACCGTCTACTACAACGGAATGGTGGTGTGGCAGCCGCCTGCCGTCTATAAGTCCTCCTGCTCGATCGACGTCGAGTTCTTTCCTTACGACGTGCAAACCTGTGTGCTTAAGTTAGGCAGCTGGACATATGATGGCTTCAAGGTGACGCCCCGCTGTACGCTGCTTGGCGCCACGCGCGCGGGCCGTAGCCATAGGGCCCGCCGCCTCGCCCGATGTCCATGCAGTAGCTTGTTCGCTCGAACTTAATTCGTCGTGTAATTAATCTTACTTTCTATCGATGTGGTATGTTATACTCACTTATACATTTTGACCGTGCGCGATGGTGCTAAGGTCGGGCGTAGAGCGAGCGTCCCACCGCGCCGCCCGCTCCCCGCCACTGGCCTCTTTAGCTCTGTCATGTTGCATATCTACTGTGATGATGTTCTTGTAATATGTGAGTAGCAGTGTGTCAACGTGAGTGTCCACGAAAGCTCCAGATAAAGACTGGCTCCGTTCCACTTAGTTCGATCGGCCTCCCTCGCTCGACACGGAAAGGTATAAAATTTCAATTGCCTGGTGATATGGGATGCAACATCACTCGATTCAATTCCTTTCCAACACGTCCCACACCAGATGAACCGTTCCGCGCTAAGTGCTGGGTATACTGCTTTGATGGAATTGATTTTACATTTTGATTTGGAAAACAAATGTTAAAGGGTAATTTATCTTTATATTTCTAACGATTGTAGTATTGTATTTACTCAACGAGTGCTGCGCGGAGCGGCGTCTTCCCGGTCATCACACCTCTCCTTAGCTGGCTCCGCTCGCGCCACACACATACAGACAACACATTACCCTATTCCCCACTCTTTGCTTGTTGCATGTTCCTCTTACTCTATGCGTTCTCTTCACTCACTGCATGCATCCAGCTTATCTCTGAACCAATTGCATTCCCCATCACGATGGCCGCAAGCCGCTAACGTTGCCACGGCTCCAACACAGCTTCACACGACGCCTACACAAGACAAGGTAATACAACACGTGAGACGACCAGAGTAACTACGACACATGCGGTCACACGCTCTCCGGCATAAACTGACATCATTGCATATTTTATACCTTTCCCTATTAGCGACTCTTTAGTGGCTGTAAGAATTCAGTGTCGCAGGCCATTGCATGATATGTAATACCATTAAAACGACAAGTCAAATACAGCTAAGATTCAGAAAAACATGGAGTCCATAGTGTACACGAATTGGATTAGATTTTTAAAGTAGTGGCAGCCCCGTTGATGGAATAAAGCTTCACGAGCGGATTCACTCAACGAGAACCTTTTGCATGCACCGTTACCCTTAGCAATGTCGACTCCGATGCCAACACCTGTCATGCATTATCATGCATTATCGGAAGCGTTGAAATCTTAAACTTAGCAAGTTGGCGTCGGACGAACGGCTGAAAGCACGTTGTGCCTAACTTCCGCGCATCACACACAAGCGCAGCGGAGCCGGTACTTCCGATCTCCTCTATAACAAATCAATGACAAATCGCAGGGGACATGCGTGTGGCACGAATAAACGATAATTAACAGCTCCTTGCGATTGCGTCTAAGAGCCCGATACGAAGACCGACTCCCGTTTAATGATCGCCAGAACCTGCGGCCCCGTTACGTTATTAGGTGTGTTACATGTTTACTCGGTTCATTACTTCGCATGAGTTGACTTTATTGTTGTTAAGTGTCTTCTTTCAAATAAATGTTTTAAACGAGTGATCTTAAAACGATTAATACTTGTTTTAGATCCGTTTTGTCGACACAGGTACCTTCTTGGCACACTCTGTGGTATGGTTTAGTCGTGACATCGTCTTCTATGGACACCATTAAATTCTGTTAAGAGTTTAATATGCTCGGGTTTGATTTAGCGCTTTAGCAGAAAAGATTTGATGTTTTTTGAAGTGTGAATTTCTAGCTTAGGTTCACATTGTGTGGCAGGGTGCATGTATCGAATTAAATAATACACAGTTTTAACTGAAAATAAGATGTTTAATAAAAGGAAAAATAAATAGAGATGGATAAAATGTTATTTGTGTCGGAACAAAAATATTTATATGTTGTTTTTATTTAAATTCATACAAACGTATACTTTATTAACATGTTTTTGTTCTGCGCAAATATGTAGAGAAATAAATTGCATTGTTATTCGCCTGTATACTAAAGCAAACAAATAAAAGCATAGACCAATAAAATGTGTGTTGCATTTATTTACTGTATTTTGTGTTTTGATGTGTTGGATCTGATAGTGCTAACGTGTATTAAATTTTAAATAGGAACCCCATTTAATACTCTTCAACCTCTTTTTCTAATTTGTGAAACAACAATTAATTACTTCTCTATCATCTACATCTGTGGATACTTACTTAATTTTTATCGAGGCAACATCAACAACAATTTCATCTTGGATACTGTTGCGACAAGTACATGTAACAACAACAACAAACGATGTAACTTTTCGAAGGAAGTAAAAAGGAATTAATAAGCCACCGGTAATCGTTTCGAATCTATAGAACGGTGAAAATGAAAATTGCTTTATAATGTTTGGCGAGGCCGTGTGTACAGGTGGACCTGAGGCATATGGACGAGCAGGCCGGCAGCAACGTGGTATCGGTGGGTGTAGACCTCTCGGAATTCTACATGTCCGTGGAGTGGGACATACTGGAAGTACCCGCAGTCAGGTCAGTTACAAGTGCATTATCAAAACTATTTTAGTTTTGCATTTTTTTTTATTATTATGTTGGGCAAATCCTCCATCCCTAGGTAGAGAAACCTACTCGCATCTGCGTTTAACTGAGCGTATTAAGTCTTAAACGTGACAGATGATGGAACTATTGCCGTACAACGTGCACTAATTTGAGAGTTTGCTTTTCACAAAGAATAATCCAACAAATAGGTCCTTCGTGGTGCAAACTAGGAACGGTGGGTTCGATCAATCATGCTGTCGAAACCACTGTACAATCTCTGATTTTTTCTACTTGTCAATATTTAAATAAAATGCGATAAAAGTAACAGCCTATACATGTCCCACTGCTGGGCAAAGGCCTCCTCTATACAGACCCTCTGTATCAGGGCATAGTCCACCACGCAGCCCGACTGCGGATTGGCGGACTTCACATATCTTCGAAATATATATTTTTTTGTTATTATTTCGAAAATATGCAGGTTTCCTCACGATGTTTTCCTTCACCGCGGAGCACGTGATAAGTTAGCACTTAAAGTTAAAAACTTCATTGGTGCCAGCACCGGGGATCGAACTCAGGTTGCTCGAGTATATTGAATTAAAGGCGAGCGCCCGGAAATTGAGCTATCACGGCTCTAAATGTGATAACTTAAATAGAGAGCAATACTTTTGTTCATAAAAACATTTTAATGAACAAAAGTATTGCTCATTATTGAATGATTAAAATTATGATTTAAAAATATTACACATGAAGACATTAGAACAGAATGGCTACACAAATAATAAAAAAATGATCGAGAAATAGAAGCAAAATATGCAGGCGATGTATTTGAAATTGGTTTTTCAGCCGATACGCGTGTAGACAAAGGAAACTGCCTAGCATCCTTCAAAGGGAGTGATTTCACGGTTCCACTTTGTGAAGCGTTACGCAAAAGCCATTGATTCTTATTTCATTCCCTACTAAGCGCACAAAAGATTGGGGTCTATACAAATCGTTGCAACATAGTTTTAATATTTAGTTCTCTTTTAAAATTTTATAAACTGTAAAAATTGTAAAATATCAGAAAGAAAAACTTAAACAGCATTTAAAATTTTTTTTTAATTGTTTTTAGTGCTAATCTTTGCACTTAAGATTGAACATTAAAATATGTAGAAAAAGTGCGAAAAGATTGTCGCCGCTGTGGGAATCGAACCCACGTCTTCGGCATTCACGGCCTGACGCTCTAGCCACTGAGCTAAACGGCTGATTGACACACGTTAAGATTTTCGTCGGTGTGACAATCTTTTCGCACTTTTTCTACATATTTTAATGTTCAATCTTAAGTGCAAAGATTAGCACTATAAACAATTTAAAAATTTCTAAAAAAGCAATGGCGACATCTCTCGTTCGAATTATCGTTGTAAAACGATATTCGAAATTGTTTGTATGCTGGAAAGGATATAACAATAGATGGCGCCAAGCATTGCTTCAAATGCTAAGAAAACAATGTAGAAGAATGCGTTAAGATTTTGGTCGGTGTGTCAATCAGCCGTTTAGCTCAGTGGCTAGAGCGTCAGGCCGTGAATGCCGAAGACGTGGGTTCGATTCCCACAGCGGCGACAATCTTTTCGCTCTTTTTCTACATATTTTAATTTAGCATTTAAAAAGATAAATTGGAAAAGAAATGCTTCGGTTAGGTAAGCAGTGGTAAAACAAATAACGGGAGTGTAAAAAGAAAATTTTAGGTCAGAAAGCCAGTAGTACCAGGTTGTCATTAAACTGAGGACGTAAAAGAAATAAAGGAGGAAGTATTAATTCTAGAGTGTCTTGTATCTTGTATTAACTGATGTTTTTGCTTTCAGTCCCGAGACTATTAAAGCTTCATCTGACGCAGAATCGGTAGGCTGGCCAGAACCCACGGGTTTGGGTAATTCTAAAGTCTACATTTCATTGGAGAATCTAGAATTTGGTTATTCGTGATCATTTCGTACTCTTCTGTGTAGAGGCGTCAGTAACAGTATTCATGCATATGTAAAAATTTAAGCCTTAGATATTTATATTTATTAAAATAATTAAATACGTAGGAGGTGATTAGCCATATCATACTATATATATATATATATATATATATATATATATAATATTATAAATGCGAAAGTTTTTACAAGATTAAATCTATCTAAAATTACATATTATCTAATAAACCTAATCCACGCGCCATGGTGCCAAGAACGCTAGCTGCATTAGAAAAACTTTCAAATATATGTAGACTTTAAAGAAAGATTTATTTAAGTGCTTCGGCGCGAGCGAAGCCGCGGGCGAAAAGCTAGTAGCTAGCCAGGTCTATGTTCGGCAGTGGACAAAAACACGTTGAAATGATAATGATGATGATTATTCTACGGATTAAATTAAAAAAAGCGACAAGCTGAATATAAATCGAGAATGAAAACACTAGCGCCTTTAGAATTTTGCCTCTCCCGTCTCTGGGCTGTATCTTCCCTATATGCATGAGAGCCGTTATTAAGCTAACGACATTTACGTCGCTGTCACGCTTAACAGCTTTTGTGCTACGTTAAGCACGCCTGAAACATAGCAGTATCCATTCGACGTTATCGTAAAGTGGCATAAAAATAATCGCATCTTCACGTTGTCTGCATGAATAGAGAGAATAGATAGGGAGTAGGCGCTATTCAGATTTTTTTCATTTCGCTTATTTGATGCGATTGCGTAGTGGATGGATTTTTTTTTATCTTAAGAGCATTTTGCAACAGTTTCAATTTTGCTTAGATACGACTTCACGGATTGCTATTGAACATATTTAGGCAGTATATTACAATGCCCTTTAAGAATATAGTTGTTAAAAACTGTTAAATAATTAGGAAAATTAGTATCGTCGAAACATATTGTACCGTTAAACGTTCTAACCATAACATCTAAGGCGATGGCCGCGAAATTTCTCTTGACGTGCTCTCAAAAACTAAGTAAATTTATATTAATATAAACAACCAGAGTTCCTTATTTATAACTTTAACAGTTAATCGGAATAAATGCCCAAGTAGAAAGCGTTTCGATTTTATCATCATCATTTTTATGTGTTCTCATTTTGTTTATTTGCCGCATGTTTCATAAAGGCGTTTTACATCTCCCAATATATCGATAAATCGCAATGCATTTCTTTATCGAGGGGCCGAGTGGCAATTAGGGCAACGTCAAACGTATTAAATGTCACGTAGTAAAAAGGCTTCGTCATGTTTCCGACATCATGTCACCGCTTTGCTAAGTTAAGCCTCACTTAAACAATCCACCACCCACTCCTTTATCAAAGGCTGGCTTTAAAGTAGGGACGTGTCGCCGACGCATCAGACTCGAAGGTTTTATCAGCGCTTTGTGTAGTCAAATTACGTTGTAAGAGATCTACGTTCCTTTTGTGAATTTCACTATATTATGTATAATAAATTCAAAATTATCTGTTCAATTATTCTTCTTAATCATAAGTATATTTCTTAAAACAATAGCCAAAGAGTTATAAACATAAATAATTCTAATTATAGGAGAAACTAATTATAAGTTAAATTTCGGATCGACAAAAAAGACAAATAATCTATATCTTTTCCACATTCACTTCCACTTTTTCAATTATTTTTGCTGCCCTTTTTTATTGTAGACAAGAAACAAACCTTAGCATTTACTATATTATTTTTAAATATACTTAGTACTATAAACTTGTGACTTAATGAACAACTCTCGCATCTTCAACCTACGCCTTACACTTATAATTTAAAAACTATCCATATAAGCAATTGTATATCTAAAAATATCCCAAAAATAACATTCCTCAAAATCGAAGATCGGTCTACTTGAAAAAAAAATATTTTTATCTCACACGGTATACTGATAGTATGATGCAAGACACATGTTTTTTGTATTGCCTAGCTAGTTCTAAGAAATATCGTTTTTTTATAGTTGAGAAGGTGAGAGAGCTGACGGTACACCTGATGTTAAGTTATGACAACCGCCCATGGACATCTGCAACACCCATTGCAGATTCGTCGCCTACCCTACACACTACCTCACTAACCAGAGGAAATGGAGGAAAATTTAAATTTGTGTCTGACATAATTTATTAGCAAAAAATATATGCTAATGTATCATGCTAGGCGCATTCACGCAGTTATGAATAAATACAAACTGTATTAGAGTTAAACTTGACGTGATAACTATTTATTTAATTATTTTTATTTAACCGAAACTGCAGCTTTACTCACTTTAAACTAGAACCAAAAATCAAGTTTCAATATATTTTTAGTGCAGCAATGGATCATAATTGAGAGCAAATAGAATTAGCATTTTAGCAAAAATATTTGTTGTTTCTTTATCGAAATGCATTTGAATAATCCTTATAACCTTATTCTGCTTTAGTGAGCAGTGTGAAAAATTCGTCGAATCCGTTCCATTTATTGATATGCTTTTCTTATTTATAAAAAGCGGTATTAATTTTTTTATGATTTGATTTTATAATTTAAATTTCGCAACGTGGCATGCGATAACGCAAGTTTTTTAGCTGTAGAAAAGGAGTATGGTAAAAGTGAAAAAACCTTGATCAATAAATCAATACATGCACAGTAATGGCGTTTGCTTACAAATTAGCCAACACCATTTAAGAATACATCTGAGTTGGTTTCAGTAACTTTTTCATTTCAATAGATCTCCCCTTTTAGTTTCAACAAGTAAGATAATTGAAAGTGACATTGAATTGTCGCCTAAGACATGCCTTCGGGGATATCAGCCATTATAACCGTTATAACATTGAAAGCTTCTCAACTCTTGCTACTTAATTATTGAAGCTTTAGTCGGCTACCTTACTTCGTGTTTATTAAGATGAAAGCCCTTGTTGACTTTAAAAGTAAAATATTTTTAAAAGCTAGCAAGGGATACTAGTGTGTTAGTTAAATAACACATAATTGCTTGTGCTTAAGTACTTTTTAAATTAATTGCGCCACTTCTTTTGATGGCGGCAACGCATCTGCAAATGGTCCTGGGTGGCACTAATTACTTATTTGACAGTAGCTGTATAATTGTCTGCTTTTTAATGCTGCTTTTTAAATGAAAAAAAAAAAATGTTTTCGTGTAACCTAACTTCAAACCCCGATAATGGTACGTGTAATACGACAAAAAAGTATTTTATAAAAATGTAATGTGTAACATATAACGACATAAGATATTTAGGACGCGTCGCAAACTAAGAGGGTTTTGCACGACAATTGCTTACGTATATTTAGCTAGTAAAAGACGACAATATTTATTTCTAATCTAAGTCCTTACAATGCTGTAGTGGACTAGTGGTCTAAAGTCGTAACATCAATAAGGTTTTCGTTTAAGGATTTTTACGTACGATAAATACTTTCTCAAGTTTGTTATTAGGATAAACGATGACCACTTATTAATTCTAATCATAATTGAGTGCCGTTTTCATATGAAACTTTAGAAGTCATACCTTTTTGCGATGCCATGTCGTATTCTTTAAAACGTGATAACAAAGTTCAAACCACGCTTTAATGTCGAACAGTTTTATACAGCCTAGGCTTTTCTCCGGAGTCTTATGTGTAAATGAACGATAGAATCTCATAATAAGTTATCTCTGATTTTGTCTGCGGAAGTCGATCTTTTCTTGACGACTTTTAACAATTGGAACTTAATAAATGTAAAAACGCACTTTATCACATTCACATTAACCGTAAAGCTTGTGTACTCCGTTGAAATTAAATAAATTTGAATTTTTATCTGATCTCGATGAACTGTGCACCTTACGTACACAGTACAAACTTATTTGCAAAAAATACGTAACAAATTTCATGAATAAGAGACGAAAGAAAGATGTCTCTTTTGTATTCATTTAGGTTTCTACATCGCTATAATAAATTTACAACATTACTTTTATTAACATGTGTATGTATATGTTAAATGTCAAAAAGTACATCGAAGTATTTTACGAGTGAGTCCTTCTCACCTCTCATTTAATACGTCGAAGAGTTTAATATAATACGTCGAGACGGTTTTATGCCACACTCTACTAAATTGCTCATACATTGGTACATGGCTTTTACGTGTCTGTCACTTTCGTCATAAAGTGTAAGGGCGATGTTATGTGACATTTTTTGAACATAAACGATCTTCTAATTCGTGTCTAAGCAAGTTTTGGTAATGTGTATTTGAACTCTTTTGATCTTCGAACAAATTATTGAGTCTTAGTTTTTTAACGTAGAACTTGTTACTTAAAACATACTGACGGTGTGACAACTATATATTATTGTACTACCCATTTTCATCAGCTCGGTCAAGAAAAAACTATTTGGTTTCTTTATAATTTATTTAAACGATATTGGGGAATGAATGAAGAAGAATTATCAGGGTTATCCATTTTTTTAAGTCTTATCTGCAAAACAATATTCGTGTACGGTGACAGCTGACTGGCGTTGAGACTTAACACGCATGGTGAAATGTTACTAATAATTTATGAATTAAGAGCACTTAGTATATTCAAAAAAATATTAATATTTATATTTATTACGTACCTACAATTTTATTGGCAACAAATATATCTTTATTCTCAATAAAACTGGAAGTCACGTCCTAAGGAGCTTCAATATAAATAATGACGTTACATTGAAATTACGAATAATATGCATAAATTCGATTTGATGGTATTTAATTCAGCTTTGTGCACATTCGCAATTGCTTCTAACTTCTGTACTTGATTATCCGTACTTTTTGTGCAGGAACGAGAAATTCTACACGTGCTGTGATGAACCCTATTTGGATATAACATTCAACATCACGATGCGAAGAAAAACACTATTCTACACGGTCAATATCATCATACCATGCATGGGGATTTCGTTCCTTACGGTTCTCACGTTTTACTTGCCTTCGGACAGTGGCGAAAAGGTAAATATTATGTTATGTATATAAAACATTTGTGTTTTGTTTGTATATGAGGCAGTGGAGGATTTATCTTGGCCGCCCTAGGCCCCAGCCCATGTAGTAAGTTCCAGCCGCCCCTTTCTCAGAGCCCGCCTAAATCTTGTTATCATCAGTAAATTTTTTGTCACGATTGGCCGCCCCTAATATGTGGCCGGCCTAGGCCCAGGCGTATTGGGCCTTAGGGCAAATTCGCCACTGATATAATGTAAAATCAGTTTTTGCTGTTGCACGAACAGGCAATTTGCTTCCCCATATCGACCGGGCCCATCAGGAACTGGTGTGAACTGTTTATACTTTTGCATATCATCCAAGACCAGCACCTCAGACAAAACGCTGCAGGCATTTCGAATGATCACTTGTCACAAGATTATTTTTACTAGGCAATTTATGCTTTAAAGAATTTACATGTTAGGTTTTCTGTTTAAATAAAAATCAACGTTTTTAAATGAAACTATTTTACAGATTTTATCGTGTTTAAATAGTATTGTAATAATCAACGTTATTATTATTTACAAAATTTCTCACAGGATATTTACCGAATCAATGTGAACAAATTTGCGTAAGCGACGTTATAAAGCTGGCGTTAAACCTGAAATATAACACGAAATTTATTGGCTCCATCTTTCCACACCTTGAATACTAAATTTCAGGGGAGATTATAATAACCATCTATCAACACGAAACCCGACTCGTCTTATTAGATACGAAATTACTTTGCCGATAAGATAACGCGTTTAACGACCAATTACATTGAGTGTTAACTAATGTTTTATCAAACTAAAGCGTTAATTGATTTTGAATGTGAAATTTAAGCGATATTTAATATGTTGGAAATACAACGTAGATTATTTACTAGCTGATTTTGTAAAGTCAATTATGGTACCTTTTTAATTATTTCATTTATATGAAATTAATTATTTAATATCTGCCTTAATTAAGCACCATATACAGGATGATTTTTAGACGAAGTACGTACTTTGACATAATTTTAATTGAGCATTCCATAATTCAAAAAAAATATTAATATTTTATTTTGACAAGAAATAACCAAAAAAATATCAATTCAAACATTATTTGTTTATCCCGTTAAAAATGATAACCCTATAGATAAGCGGTTTAGTAATTATGCGTTCAGCGAAAAGTTTTAGTGCTTGTCCATAGGTTATTGTATTGAGATGGTAAGGCAGGAATTTCTTAAGGTGTCCATAATGTTTGAATAAATTAAAAATAATCATTGAAAAAAAAATGAGGTCACAAGTACGTACCAGTTTCAGATTTTGAATCAAATTCTGCATATGCTCTATTAATATGTCCGATTAAGATGTCATCCTGTATACGAAAAGACGCGGTAATACCCATTGTTTTAAAAAAATTAAACTTTTAATAATGTGTCAAGAATTCCGTCGCATTTAACTTACCACAAATTCCAATAAAACTAACCGCTTTTTGATTAAACACCATTATATACATTAAATTAATATCGATCATGGGCCCTTTTAAAAAAATTGTGTCCCTTTTAACGACAACGTTTTGTACCAAAGTTGTTACTAACTTAGACGGAGACTTACTTATAAACTAATTCAAAATACAAATTTTAATCACCACTGGATTCGTTTATGTTAATTCGTACAGACTTTAAAGCGCCCTTAACTTAACACATTTTTAAAGAAGTACGTAACGTAAATTATGATAAAGTAACAAAGACATGAAAAGCATGCATATATAATAAAAATACTATAGCAACTTTAAATATATATTATATGTATTCAATAATTACACAGTAATAATAGTACCATTTCATTTAATTGATTAAAATACCTCTGATATTAACATTAACTAATATACTATATATAAAAAAAACTAGAAAAACAGGGTACGAGAAAAATTACCGGTCTTTCTGAGAAGAGTTTAATTATTGGATTTATATTTCGCTTTTCTACCGTTAAAAATGTCGATAGCTAACACAAAAAGTTTCATAATATATCGCTAAAAGCAAAACGGGTGCTCCGACCTTAGATAAACACGCAAGCGTGCCTTTTACCAGGCGATATAATCGAAAGGTTTGAAGTACGGACTAGGGGCAGTAAACATGAATAAGCTTTTACACAAGTACGAGACCGTTTAAGGCCACTGACGTTAAAATATTTGTAAAACCAAAAGGAGCTTGGTTTTTATTAATGGTAGATTATTTTATTTTATTTCAAACTACTATAAAGCGAATAAGCGTAAATATTATGAATATTTTTTTCTTGTGTAAACCATTAACGAAGACGAATACGAAAATAGAAATCCTTATATAAATAATGACATAATTTGTCACAAAGTCCAATATAACAAAGGTTCTGAATAACAATGTTCAAAATAATTTAAAGAATTGACATAAAAATATATCACTCGAATAGGATGACAAAATTAATCATTTTAACACAACTATTGATTCAACCAATGATTTTATTAAATAAGTTATAAAATACAACTTAAAAAAACAACTTATAAAACACAACTATTGATTCAACCAATGATTTTATTAAATAAGTTATAAAATACAACTTAAAAAAACAACTTATAAAACACAGCTATTGATTCAACCAATGATTTTATTAAATAAGTTATAAAATACAACTTATAATATTAGTTAAAAATACTTCTTGGTCGTCTTTCTGATTTTTGTACAATACGTAGTGTATTATAAAACGGAATTTCTTCCATTACAGTTACATTTCTCCAGCAGCTCTTTATTCAAAATCTGAATAATCAATAACTAAAACTCCTAGACATAAGTTTCGACAACCGCTTCGAGGCAGCCGAACTGATTAAGTTCACAATAATCTAGTTCTACACCCCGGAACTGCGGCGTTTCATGAATTAAGCTGCATTTTGATCGTTACAATATAAAGATCTAATTCAAGGCATATTAACGAAATATGACATTTCTCTATTGTAAAATCTGTACCAATTATTGAATTGAAGTGTTTGTCTGTGAAAGTAGATGCCAAAGTGAAAGTAAAAAAAATGATTCTTTTTTTATTTGATAAAGTGGCAAGCGAGCTGGTGGTTCACCTGATGTTAATTGATAACCACTGCCATGGACATTTGCAACACCCGTGGCAGTGCAGATGCGTGACCACCTGTTAAAAAAGTGCTCCGGATACCTCTTTACCAGACGAAACGCAGAAATATGACACATCCACTTTACGCCGGTATTTGTGAGGTCGTGGTACTTCCCTCGATGGACCAGACCATTTGTGCAACATCAAAGACCATTGCGTGGCTCTACCAGAGTATATACCTAACCATAACAAACTCCAAACCCCGCGCCTACATCACACTTATCGAATGAAACCAGCCATAGTTGATTTGCTGCCTGCTGCATTACGAAAAGGGTTACTGAGGATTGGTAATATCAATAAAACATCCCAGTTTAATCTTACCATTTATGTTTTTTAGTTTATCACCAGTTTTATATAGTGTAATTCATAAAACTTAATCCAAACATTGTAAGGCCCTTAACATACTGTAAGATCCTTCTGCGGAGATCGGATAAATTGTCAAATAATTGCCGTGCCAACTTTTATTTTAATACTTTATTTTATATTTCTAGATTCGCAAGTAAAATCTAGTCAAAAATATAAACATAACACTGACCAAACAAATTTCTTGATGGGAAAGGATAACCTATATGCATTTTTGTTACAGGTGACGCTGTCAATTTCTATCTTGATCAGTCTCCACGTATTCTTTTTACTGGTTGTGGAAATCATTCCCCCTACTTCGTTGGTTGTGCCGCTGTTAGGAAAATACCTCATATTCGCTATGATACTTGTGTCCATTAGGTAAGTGATAATTGACGTGGTATTGTTACATGTTACGGACGCATACTATATTTTTCAATTCAAAGATATCCAACACTATGGTTAGAAATTATTAAAAAAATGTATCAAAAATTCTAATTTTCATGAAGGAAATCCGCCATTTTATTGACCCCAATAGATCAAAGCACTGTTCGTAAATACTGTCGACGTAAAAAAAATTATAAATAAGAATAAATAACAACATAAATAAATACCTATTAAAAAACTTGATATCGACTTTCTAAATCGATTACAGATATTTTAAAACATTCAAGTTTCTATTTTTATAGATATAATACGCTTATTGTATGTTTACTTTAAACTGATTAGTTAGGTTTATTAGATACGCAATTTAATTTATTAATGTGCCTCGCAAAGCGGAACAATGTCACAAAGTCAGACCAATTAAATCAAAAAAGTTGCCCCAGAGTAATTTAACTAACTTGTCAAATAAGTTAATTCAGAAGGCCCGGGATCAAGGACAACTCTTGGTTTTTCTATTTTCTTTCTATTGTTTGTCTTTTTTATTATTCTTTAAAAGTAGTTGACAAATGAGCATGCGGTTTAGCTGATGTTGAGTGATGAGCACCGCCCATGGACATCCACAACACCCGAGGGGTTGCAGATGCGTTGCCTCACTGATCAGACTAAACGAAAATATAATGCTCAATATTCACGACAATCTTCTACGAAGCTGTGGCACTTCCCTGGACGAGCCAGCCCATACCTGCAACAGCGATTCTCTTAAAATTTGGATTTTTGCTTATTAATAATTACAATGGTTATTTTTCTCGATTGAAATATTTAAGTAACAAACGTGTCTATAATCTGTAACATTGCGATCTTTCTTGTCTGTTGAATTATTTGTCAATGCTATCAAATTTTACATATCTTCACCAAAAACGTCAGTTAAAAATATGGGTAAAACTTGACCCATATGTAAAACCGCGTTATAAATACAAATTTACACCAAGGAATTCATAAACTTTTTTAAACGGAAAGTTGACATTTCACATTTTCTTTATTGCCTGCGTATGAGCGTGTCTTTTTGACTTTTTATACCAACGTTTTTCCTCCGTGGATCCACATAGGAAAGCAATTTAAATACTAGAGCCCAACTCTGACCCCGTTACAGTCCGCGGAATTTCCATATAAATTAAAACCCGTACCCCAAACACGATTTTAATGCTGTTATTTGAAAACTCAAGAGCAATTAAATTACTGTCGAATTTATCTGTCCTCAATTATTGGATATAACATCGGCTATTGTTTATTTAATTTTTCATTTAGATTAAATTGTTAAGATGTTGGAAAAAATTGTGGAAAATTGATAAACATTGTTAATTAAATTTTCCCAAAAATAATTGCACCATGAGCAACACCAACCTTGAACGCCCTGTGCGAAATTAACGCAATTATCTCCCTTACGTTGAGACGAACTCATTACATTAACTGAAAATGAGGTAAGGAGCAAAACAAGGCCGCATTAATCTGCTGGTTCCGTTATTAGCTCTACCACTGCGTAAGTAAATAACGAAACTGCTTATTCAGGGTCGTTCAGCCACCCTCCTCCACCTATCTCCTTGCTTACAACTAGGGCGACCACCATTCCATCGTATTTCTCCAGAGCTGTCCTGGTTTTCAATATATTCACATTGCCGTGTGGAGTTTCCGAAGTAAACTAAATTGTACATAAAATGATAAAACTAATTTAGCATTATTGCGATAGCATTTTCAGTTGAAATATCCAGAATTAACAATTTTATACTTGGAAACCCTATCAATTCTGCAATCCCCTCGGGACGCTAGATAAATCTTGATTAATTACTGTCCTTAATTGTTGGCATGAACTTGCTATATAATACGATTATTCTCACCGACTCATTGCCTTAATTAAATTCTTTTGTTTGCTCTATGGGTACAGGTATACCAACAATAAGGTATAATTTTTAACTGAACAGATACAGGAGATCACTATAGTGACATCATGCCACAAAAACTCCTAGAAATGTTTAGAAATAGCATTTTATACTGATATTATTATTAAGTGTGAATTGTCACGTTGCTTAATAGATAAACATTACAAACAGAATGAGTTAAATAGTATTTTCAAGATTTACCAATCAATTATATTTCATCTCCAAATACTTTCTAGCCAATCAATTTCATAGTCACTAGGCCAACTTTAATATATTTTTCTTAATATCGGTCTTTATCAAATACATTACTCTGGACGAAAACTAATTCGAAGTTGTGATTTAAAGGTCAGGCTCCGTTACGATCCGTAGGTACTCGTTAAAAAACTTGAACAGCTTCGAAAGTAACATCTTAAATAGCATCTCGTAGCACAGAAAACATGATGGAAAAGAACACTTTTAGAGGGGTAACGTTGTAGTTCTCGCACAGATCTAAACATATTTTTTGTTCTCATAACGATCTTAATGTCCTCGAAGTTGCTTGTAATAATAGGTACTTATTTCGAAGGACGAGATCGCGTTGGTCTAAGGAGATCGAGTAAAACAATGCGATACAATTTTCCGTTAATGATTGAATTACCCTTGTTATTTCACTCTCATTGTAAAGTTTATTTTATTTGTAGGTGGTCGAAAATGTTAATTTTGTACTCTTATGTCTTAACGACGTTTTCCTTCACCGATGAACACGTGATAAGTACTTATAATAGCAATGAACAATTTTATTCTTGCCTGCAACAGGATTTGAACTCAGCTTGCTGTAGTACACAAAATCAAAGGCGTGTGCCCGAACACTGGGTTATCATAAAATATGTTCCCAAAGATATGCTAAGTCTGCCAATCTGCAGTAGGTTGCTTAGTGGAATACTCTTAATATCTACTATACAGTGCAGGCATATGTCATGGGCCGTTACTTTACCCTTAGTTTTATTTACTTTTATGTCTTTAAAGTTTAATACATAAACTACACTTTTCAGTTAACGCATTGTAGAACGAAGCGCAAGAAACTTCGAGTATACTGTGGCAAAACCAGGCAGCTTCAACTTTGCACTAATGGGCTTGCTTGATCGGGGATACATTATAATCTTACATAAGTCCTCACAATATAAATCTTACATAATTCACACTAAGTTATGTAGATAAAACGAGAGAATATATTTGGTGTTAATAAAGTCAATAATTGCCGTTATCTTTCAGTATATGTGTTACGGTGGTGGTGCTGAACGTTCACTTCCGGTCGCCGCAAACGCACCGGATGGCTCCGTGGGTGAAGAGGGTCTTCATACACATTCTGCCGCGGTTGCTCTTCATGAAACGGCCGCAGTACAAATTCGACACCAACAGGTATAGACAATAATAAGTATACCATACATAGATGCCCTGAACGTGAAAGTATTTTGCGCTCGAAAATAGGCCCGAAAAGAGTATTATTTTATCATGTCACGAGAACTGGATCCAGTTCAAAATTTCCCCGCGACTGTTCCACACTTTATTGAACGTCATATAGCCAGTGCATACGAATAAAATACCCGTAATTACTATTACACTATGCAAAAAATATATATAAACGTATTAGTTTAAATCTTCACCTTTAATTTCGGATATTGTACCCGACGAAACTGGTAAATAAATTATAACTTTTCAGTATCTCTTAGGCAAGAAGTTGTATGTTTACTCAATTACTCAGCCCCGTGCCAGCCCCCAGAAATTTGATAACTATTTAAACTTCAAAATCAGATTCGATACTAAACCAAAAAGTATGTACTTATCTTGCAAAAATATATAGTTTTATTATATTGTCTTGAATACTACACAAAGTTTATTAAAAATATTATATTCGTTTTACCACTATTATAATACTACATACCAATACTATTATAATACTACACAATGTTAATTTAACAATTATATGGTGTGTTCTTGATGTTTCGTTGAAAATCAAATGTGTTTCACGGAACAATTTACAACTATAATTATTCTTCTAGGGGATGCAAAAGTTACAGTCCACCCTTATTAGTTTAGGGTAAACTATGATATCAAGACTTAAATGTCTAATTACCGAAAATCACACAAATTTGACAAACCCTTGCAGAACTATTGAAATGCATGTACCTATCTAATAAAGTACACATATCGCAAGAATAGCCCCAAGCCTGATGTCCCTCATAAAATAAAGTAGTCCATAAAAGTTATAGGCCGCGCCTTCTTGCTCCGAGTTGGTAAACGAATTTTTCATATTTTATTTTAACCTTACACGACGGCAATCGCCGATTTAATGTTTAATAAATATGGAGTTGCCCGTTTGTGAAATAAATACATTTTATTTATATATTTATATCCATGGCTTTTGCGACGAATGAAAGCGGCTTCATTTTATGATCTCATGTTTTTTCCGTAGAGGGCTTTCGGCCTTAAATAAATGAAACTAGGGACGAGTAATAAAAGAATAATATTTTCCATATGGATCGGACAATGCATCTATCGCTCAACAAATTCAATGTTATGGCATCTTCATCTTTCTATAGTGTTTGTGAATCTTCATTGGTGTTAGGTTACGAGTTAGCGCCATTGTTTTTATGATCTAGCGAAAATGGAAGAATCGTGACATTGAGCAAATTCGTAGCTCAACTCTAATGAACAACAACTTTTTCATCTGCAACTGGAAGCATTGATAACCGGTTATGGATATGATCATCTAACATTACGATGAAGTTTCGTCGTACTAGTAGGGGAGTACGAGCAATGTTAGTCATCTCGCGTTTTGGCGACATCAAATAAACAGAGTCGTTTGAATAAGCTTCAGAGATGTTTTATTGTGACGCCTGGTTTAAAACACAAATGACGTATTCCCTAAAAGGCAACACAGCCATTGTTGCTATCAATATAGTAATGTCTTTCAGGTATTCTTTCATCTATGTGTCACTATAAAAAATGTAGTACTTTAAAAAACCGGCCAAGTGCGAGTTGGACTCGCGCACGTACCATTATCTACAAAAACTGCAAAAAAAATCATGTCTGTTGTACGGGAGCCCTACTTAAATATTTTTTTATTCTATTCTTTAGTATTTGTTGTTATAGCGGCAACAGAAATACATCATCTGTGAAAATTTCTACTGTTTTACTATGACGGTTCATGAGATATAGCCTGGTGACAGAAGCACAGACAGACAGATGGACAGCGGAGTCTTAGTAATAGGGTCCCGTTTTACCCTTTGGGTATGGAACCCTAAAAAAATAGAACTGAAAAATGAAATTTTCTCCATAGTATAGACTATTCACTTTTTTAAAAAGGGCTGATTATTATGATAGTATAGTAATAGTTTAAATAAGGCATCAACTGAGACAATGTTTTTCATACATATAGGCATTCCGAAAAATGGGTCACTTTAATTATTATTTTTTTAGTTCTTTATGTTTATTTTTTATTTATTTTAGCTTATATCATATTTTCTTCCCAAAAAGTGATATGATTACGATAATTCATGTCATAGATTCTGAAGTACATTGCAATAAATATCACTTGTTGCATTGTACTTCAGCAGACAAATTATATATTAATAATATTATATAAATTGATCTCCGCGTTGCTCAAGAACAAAATGCCGTTTAGTAACTCAGTAATTATTAGTAAGCGACCCCTCTGTGTACATTCACAAGTTTCGAACAATTTAATATCGGTATGGCCATAATAACTAGTTTACTAACAACATACCCGACGTACCCCGAGCTCTAACTTTCAAATTATTCAACTTATCCTCTTTGATACATTCTGATTTCGCTCTATTAAGATAACTTGTGAGAAGTTTCGTTGTTTCTTTTGCGATAAATATGAAGCATTTAAAAAAAATGCAAAAAAAATTAAATAAAAGCGGAGCAATACAACGATATAAGGATAAAATTCGGGGTATTAAATATTAAGCATAAAATTACTATAAGCGGAATATAGCTTTTAACGAGATTTTTTAGCTTGATCCGTATGCTTGTATCCATCGATCTAAATCTAACCGACTCTCACATGACTTATACTTTACATGACTATCTGTTAACCTCATAGTAATATTTTAATTCAGACAAATCAATTATCAAATATCAACGTTATATCGATCTAAGGAATATTCGAAAGCAATTATTTACGAAATAGAGAGTGGAACAGTACCGCAACGAATCATTCATGAGGAAACTCACTCGACATTATAATTGACTTAGGCCACGGTTGTCTATTAACAAGGCGGCCGATACTACGAGAGACGCCGCGTCTCGGTGCGGTCTCGGATCGTTACGAAAATGGATCGCTGGGATGGATTAGACCGCCTTTACAATGCGGATCCTCTGCTCGCGTACTATTCCGCTTCGAGTTACTCATAACTTCGGGAATAGTGGCGCAATATATGCCTTGATTGATGACGCGTTTTCAGGGGCACTGTCGTTACGTAATTATCCGATTTGTTTGATAGCGCAATCGTAGATCGTGTAGACCTAAGTTCTGGTGGAATTTTTCCATTCCCGCTGCACTTTGTGCAGAATTTGTGCTATTTTCTTAATACAAATGTTTGTTGAGATGGTATGAATTAATCAGGGGTTTCCCAACAACTATCTTAACATTTCGTCATAAAGGCAAATTAATGCGCTGATGATCTCGTTGCTTTGCCTAAAAATGGCAATATCGGTAGTCTCATGAGAACTGCCTTCTAGCTATGAAGCTAAATCGTAATTTTTTTATATATGTTATTTATCCACATACCCACAAGTACATTAAGTATATATAAATATATATATTGTATATTTTTTTTTGTATTGCTAATTCAATCTTTATTCCTTTTTATTATTGGTAATAACAATCGAAGGCAACTTGTCTAAGCATTATTTATGATATTAGTAGCAATAATATATAAGCTAAGCTTGTAAAAAGGAATCTACATAAATAATTGACATAAACTTCCATCTTTCTACATATACTACACCTACATGTTTAAACCACGTTCATTTAAAATACAATATGGCAGAGTAAATTTATAGATTCATTCAAAATAATCGACATTGAAATAATCCATATCATAAAAAATTTCAATGTAAACCCTCCGACACTGAGACAAAATACACTGCGCAAAACATCGCCGCCCTCGTGCCTCTATCGATTCACATAAATAATTCATATCCAACCAACTTTCGAATAAATCTTTCTTCTAAAATTGTTATTTTATCTGGCACAAATAGTTTCAATCGTATCTGGTAACAATCAGGTCATTATTATCTTGGCTGTCTTTAAATAAAGTCTTTAAGTAAAATAGTTTGACTTAAACGTAAAATTTAATTCAAATTAGTATTAACTCTTGTTTCAAATAATGCATAGTTAAATTTTTTGAGTCACGTATAAATGTTTAAAAACTTATTGTGTACAGACTATTGATACTGTAGTTTGAAATTAATGTTCCGAATCATTTAAGTTTTGTTGACAGTATTTATCAAGTAAAATAGTAACCGCGACCCCCCCCCCCCCCCCCGATTTCCCCCCCAATCATCGTAGATATCTCAGCGTAAGAGATTTACTTACTAGGCACTTTCAAGTATAACAAAAGTATAAGTTAAATGTATAGACGTCAAGACAAACCTTATTTTAACAAAATGAAAATATTACCAAAGATCATTATTTTCAGAAACACATTCCTGCATGCAATGTATCAGTTGAGTCAGCTTTTTTTATTTCGATGGGTAGAGGTTGGGGTCTTACCCAACACCTAAAATCTCGTCAGAGGCCACCCTTAGTTCGTTACGAGGATATCTCCGGTGGCTCTATACCGCTGGAAGGGTAAACCCAATTTCCAAATTGTTTGGGATTATACCAGACCGCTACGTGGTGGTCACCTAAAATTGTTGACTGGTCCACTAAAATTGTTGAGCACTCTGTGTCACAAGCGTCCATGGACACAGTGTTACCCCTTTGGACGCCTTTTACAACAACCAGGAGATACCTGAGCCTTTTCTATAAGCCCGAAAACTATCCCAGTTGAATGGTTGAGGTAGCCTTACAAACTTCCCCGCACATCCACTTTACTTGGACATCGACCAGAGCTATTGCGACATCCAATCCAAAGTATTATCCTGATCAACGAAACACATAATCACTGAACTTGTTTCATTAATAATAAGGCAACATACCGAATTACGTCTTACGAATAATGTCTTCTTTCCGTAGGATTCGAACTAAGAGTTTTCGTATTAAGGCTTATCTTAGAGAAGTGAACCGATTTGACCCCCATTCTGACTTTCCCTTTTCATAATAAAAATAATAATAACTTTATTCTGAAGAAGCCTAATTACGGTTTAATTTCTTGCCGATCCCAAAACTGGGCAATGCCTTTCCAATGGGGGTTAATTGGTAGGTAAAAGGTACATGTTTAAAAATTGGCTCCTGTTTCTTTACAGGCTTAGCATGTCACCTTTTCTATTTTCCGGCCTATATTCTATTCTGTTTAGCACCACTATGTTTGATTTCCTTCGACTGTGTTACAATCGACTGTATTTCACGATAGGGACTCAGCAATAGGGACACTGTTTTATAAATTCAGTTTCAACTTTACTTTGGATATAAGCTCTTGTAATTCTGGATCCTGTAATTGTAATAGCAACAGGAAATGTAAAGGGAAATCAAGAAAGATGGGACGAAAGAAAGAACAGGGTAGATTGAGAGTTAGGATGAAAAATTCGTACCCCGCCGTCATGAAATGGTAATAAAAGATGGTAGCTTAATACTCAAGGTCTTAAACTCTACCTATCTCTGCAGGCAATTCAAAATGCAAATTCAAAAATGTTGTAATTGTGCTTCATAATTCCTATTTTTATTCGATCCAAATCATAATTCAATATTTTGTTTAGTCTCTAAAAGTCCCAAGTCGCAGGTTGGGCCCATCTCAATCTTCAGTAGAAATCTTTCAATTTGAACCAGCTGTTTTTGTTTGTTGTATGTTTCTTTTATAATTTTTACATTCAAGTACGAAATGTGAACTATTTTATTTGAATTTCTACAGCTCAAACAACTATAATAATTCACAATACTTTGGGAAACCATTACGATGAAGGTTATATAAGGGGAAAACACGCTGTTACCACTTTCCAGTATTTCTTTTCAGCCGGCCATGATGCATTAAAATCATATCGAAGAAGATAAAAACAGCAAAAATTAAGTGAGCGATAGTAAATGAACGTAATCTTTCTTATAGATCACGTTACACGGCATGTGGAGTAGTGGTGAGATGTGGTGGGGCGGCTCGACCCCTTTACCCGTACAGACTGGCGGCAGCTGATGATGACTGCTGCGCGCCTGGAGCTTGGCCACCACCAGTGGTACCCCCCCGGCCTCTAACACGCACTCCAAGCAAGGAAGACTTGACACATACGACATATGTTAACTCTGGGTAAAAATATGAGCTTAATCACTTAGATCACAAGAATTCTCTGACTTTCAGGACACAATTTCTTTTGGACTTCGAAATATACAATTTTCAAAAACTGCTGTAGCAATTAGTATGTAAAATAAAGCAATTTCCTCTGATGATAATCTAGAAAAGGAATCCAGAGGGTACTTAGAGAGAATTGCCTTTTCATTTCACAAAATCATAGTATCTTAAAATCTTAAAGACATCATCTCTCGTATACTTAATTGATATTATGTTAATTTCATTATAATATATCCCAAATCACAGTATGGGAGACAGCAGCCGATTCGGCGGTAGCTGCGTGGTGCATGGATCGAGTGAGGGTGGCGCTTTGGGAACTGGTTCCGAAGAGGAGGCGCTCAGTCCAGTGCCAGACCCACCACCTGGTTTCAGTCACTCAACCTGCCCGCCAGAGATGCATAAGACTTGTTTCTGCGTGCGTTTTATAGCAGAGCACACCAAGATGCTCGAAGACTCTACAAAGGTTGGCATGAGTAAAATTTATATAATTTTTTTTTTTTACTTCACCAACAAGATCATCAAAACAAGCTTAAAACATAAATAAGTACATAATATCTTAAACTAAATAGTATGTCAATTACAGGTGAAACGACATTCAAAAGTTATTATATTGACAACTGCTAAAAAAATAATAATAATTGAAGTATGTTAAATGCTAACAAGAAATTAATACAGTAGTTGACTTTACACTAAAATAAACATATAATAACTATGATTTTCATTAATTCTCCTCCGTACTCCTACTTTTCATATATCAGTTACTTTTTATATACCAATTGGCCAAAATATTACAGGTGAAGGAGGATTGGAAGTATGTAGCGATGGTGCTCGATCGGTTGTTTCTCTGGATATTCACGCTGGCGGTCCTCGTGGGCACGGCCGGGATCATACTACAGGCGCCGACGCTGTACGACGATCGAGTGCCTATAGACAAACATTTCAACCAGATCGCAACGTCAACCCTGGTGCGGTGTCCGCCGCCGAACTAATCGTTAGCACGGCAAGGAGCAACGGTGTCTACTTAACTGCAATTCGTTTGTAAATCGGTTATGAAATAGGTGAAAATTTAATTGTTCTCGATAACTATGACATGACAGACAAACTACTTATCCGTCTTTTCAAAATTTACGCCCCTAAGCAGTAGTAATACAGCTGTTGTTATAAACAATTGTTTGCGTGTAGCGAAAATGCGTAATTTGCGTTATTACGGATACATCCTGCACCTCCCACCTCACACTGTTTAATTTCTGTTGTCGAGTTCAATGTGATCCTTTCCGAAGTACTCACGAGCCAGTTGCAGTAGAGCCGTAAGCGATCACCGTTGCAACAACAACACCTAACGCACACCCGTCCTGCCCGCATGTGTTCTATTCCACGACACGTATTGTACTAGTGTTATTGTTCTTCTCATACTTCTTAAACTCTGCACCCAATATTAACGTTTAAGCATCCATGTACTACCCAACTAAATCTCTTTCTATGAATTATCAAATATTGTGATCAAACCTTTTCCCCCTAGATTAAATAATTATTGCATGTCATAGAAAAATAACACGATGACAATAAAGCGTAGAAACTTAAACCAATTCAAATTAAATGTAACTTTTACGTGGAATTGGAATTTATAAAAAATCACATTCGTCATTCTGGGTCCGTGAATATTTCTAATTGTTATTTATGATTACTTTTTCTCCTTGCTTTGTAAAATATAAAGTAAACTCATTGAAACGTAATAAAACAATCGTTAACTAAATAGTTCGTAATTAAAAGAATGATCGGTTGGTAATCAACGGGTTTGTAAACTTAAAGTAAAATTAAACAAATCGTGTTAAATGATGAGTACTACCATTAAACGTATTAAAGTAGTTGGAGCATAGTTTTAGTATTAAAGGACGAAACACCACCAAATTGAAGCTCTCTGTGTTCAACAAGATCGGGTAGTTACTAAATAATGTAGTGTAGTAGTGTCATTATATTCTTATCATTAAACACTTCTTACGATACACCTCGCTTCTTCTTATGAACTACTTTATTTAAGCTTTCATAATTTGATTCAACAATCTTAATGTTACTCTTTAGGTAGTTAAAGGAAATGAACTTATCTAGCACTTTCTTACTATCTTTAAATTAAGAAACTAACTTTCGACGTCTCTAGTCCACATGACTACATTCAATTGTCGTAGAATAGAACATGTACTATGAAATAAATATAACGATTTTAATATTTTTAAGAAAACGCATAGGTTTTGAAACCAGTCATCGCCTTTAAAACATGCACTGACATATCTTTTATTTCAGTCGAAAAAAAAGTTACAGTGAATTACATTTTCTCTGTACACCATACATCACAAATCTAACATACATAAATTCTCCTTATGATAATAAGTACAATATAACCATTTAATTAAGTGATAATTGCTCAATTTTACGAGTTTTTCTTATAACGAATGATGATTGGTCACTGAAAATTTCCAAAAGGAAATAAATATAGATACAATAATGCGATATTGAATTAATGAATTATTTCAATTCTAACCATCAGAAGGTTGCAGAATAATCATATGGATGTAATAAGCTGAATGAACTTTAGTCAAGACTTGCAACAATAACGAATAGTAGTAACGAATAGACGTTGTTTTGAAGTAAAATCTGGGATCTCATAAAGTGGAGGCCAAATATTTACATTTGCTACTAAAGTCACTGTTGTTATTCGTCAGATTTTCAAAGTAACCTCAATAATGTAAATATTAACAATTTTTGAAATGTTTTTGCTAACGTGAACCAGTGATGTAATGATGTACTGGAATTGAATCAAAGCGGATTTTTTTTAAATTTAATATACGTAACTTACAATTCAAATTCAAGTTTATTAACAATTATGTACAAACAGGAACAAAGATTTAATGCATTTATGAATTGCTTTTTGTGTTATTCTAAAAGTAAAATAAGTTAAGATACGCACTCGGATAGTGCCGAATATTGATAGAAGTATCAAAAATTAAATTAACACGACAGTACGTACGAACAAGGAATAGGAAATGTACTGGTGCATAGTTTAGGGTCATTTTTGAAGAGTAAAGGAATGAGATAAAATGTAGGTATTTAATTTAAATAAGAAGCACATTGGACTGTTCGCAGTAGAGTAGCGCAGCTCAATTGTAGTAAAATAAATTTGTAATTTATCTATTTATATTGTTAATAAAATTGTTATAACATAGAAAATGACGTTTTATTTATCCTGTAACTATAAAAGACGCGGTTCACGTTATAATAGTAACCACGACTTTTATCGGTACAGTTTATCATATTTATATCTATACCTAAGAAGAAATAAAAAAACATTGATGTATTTTTAAATGAAGGTCTTTACCTTATCTAATACTTAAACGTTAACAAGTCATTTTTTTTACTAACGGAAAACTAAACCGACTTCAAATATCTAGCTCTGTACCTATTCATTTTATAGTTGATTTTCATGAGTTTCCTAAGTATCTCCGGATCCCAAGATCCAATACAATATCAATGAATTCAATATGGGACTACATGGGAAGCACCAGCTTTCAAATAAAAAAAGAATCATCAAAATCGATTCACTCAGTAAAAAGTTCTGAGGTAACAAACATAAAAAAAGTAAATACAGTCGAATTGAGATCCTCCTCCTTTTGAAGTTTTTTTAAAAATATCGAAACAGTCGTTAACGTATTGTTAAGGTCTGCTTGTCTGTTTATAGGTGAAAATTGAATTTTGAGCGTCTTTCTTGATGGATTTAAGACAAGGCATTTCAATGACTAATTTCGGCTACTTTTTAATAAGACACACAGTGGCGGATTTACCCTATGGCCCAATAGGCACGGGCCTAAGGCGGCCACATATTAGGGGCAGTCAATCGTTACAATAATTTCACTGATGATAACAAGATATATGATGGGCGCTGAGAAAGGGGCGGCTGGAACTTACTACATAGGCTGGGGCCTAGGGCGGCCAAGACTACAAATCCGCCACTGGAGACACGGTAATCTAGAGGTAGCACAGCGGTAGAAACTCAATTTTTTTCATGAGTTTGTTTATTTATATATAAATGATGAAATCATGTTAAAATAATAATGACTTTTGCAGTAGGGGGGGGACATGTTATAAGAAATTATTATTAGATTTTTCAAATATTATTCACGCTAAGGCGCTCTAGTAGATATGGAGATGTATTTAATTCCAACATTGTGATATGTAGGAATAATAAATTTGAACTTAAAATAAAAATAAATTGTGAACCATACTGGTTTTAAAACTCCACTCCCGGTCGATAATGAAATTTACGATTATTTTGAGTTGTAATTGTACATATAATCATACGTTTATAAGAAAGCTACCCCTTCTCTTTGAGTTGCCCTTAGATGTTCAATTGTTGGTATCCATAGAGCTTTGGTGTTTCTGTTGTGATATAGTGAAAATAGTGTGTGTGATCACAAATGGCAGTTACACTAATAAATAAAATTATTATATGGTATGATAAGTGCGATCTCATTAGTATCATTACTCGATAAATATAATGTTTCAGTTGTACAAATAAAAAAAAAAACAATAAAAATTATAACTGTCAGTAGCAGAGACGGTAATTTATATCAAGTTTTAACTGATTCAAAAATGTTTGATTATTACGAATTTATGGTTAATTTATTATCATAAAGAAGTGCAGATGCTTGAGAAAGTTTTAAATCCGTAAAGAGGGTGTCAATACAGTAATTTCTACTCCGTAGATTTCTAGTCATAATGGTATTATGCTATGTACAAATCACTTTAACAGCTAACTCTTACTTTGCCTATTTATTTAGGAGTCATAACCTTTAATAAGTGGCTTTATAACATTAAAAAAGACTTTATTAAAAATAAAAAGAAATTCGATTAGTCTACTATATCAACATATTCATAATGATAGAGCCAAGGGTATATAATTATTCACTCCTGTAGCACGAGTTGACAGTCTCCTCCGGGAAGATGCCACAGCCTAACAAAAAAGCAGCGTGAATTAGATGTATTTTCCGCGACACTTAGTAAGTGAGGGAAAAGGTTGGCAACGCATCTCAAGCTCCATGAATTATGTCGATGTTGAACGTTAAACGCGTGACCGCTTGCTATCTTCTCACAAAAAATTATATCGTGGAGAATAGGTTCGGATACTTACGGATATTTTTATGGAAACAAAAAAAAATTCTTGCTTGTGTTTATTGCCAGAATCGGCAATTTGGATTCATTGTTTTCTAGTCTAGAAGTCTAGTTAACTTCGAAATCACTGTAAGGGTGCATCCATTAGTTACTTTCAAGGTGGGGAGTTGAGACGAATCTCATCTAACATTACTTTGAGGAGAGTCCAATATCATCTCGGCTAATATCACTTATTTTTCTTTTTTCGCAAAAAACAGAGTAAAATTTCGAAAAGATACTATTTAGTAAATTAAAAGATTTACTACAATATAGCCAGATCAATTTCAATAATACTTAACGTTATTTTCCGAACACCGCAAAGTTGCACAATAGCCCGCAGTTTGTTTACGCGCCAGAACGAGGTTGAAGGAGCAAAGGATTTTACTGAAAATCATGTGGACTGAAGTGAAGGGTGACTGTTGGAACCAACAGTTCCAATACTTAGTTGCAACAGTCAACTGTGCACAAGTCTCCCTTTGCTGAATTAAAATGAATATTCTTTTATGAATATTAGTAGTAGTAACGATTTTAGAATTTTATTGTTTAATTTTCACTGTAATCCTATCCTAATTTCTCAGAAATCTTTAATAGTAATCTTGACTAGTCTTAAATAAAAACGTTTACGCGATTACATGCATTTTGAAAAATCTCACGTGAGGTTGGGGAATAAAGGGGATTGAGGCAAATCTCATGAAATCTCGCCATCCGTTAGCTTTTTCGACCGACTTCAAAAAAGTAAACTCATTGAAACGTAATAAAACAATCGTTAACTAAATAGTTCGTAATT